CTATGTAGTAATAAGTCTTGATAATTTTTTTTTTGTAACTTTTCTTTTTTAATTGTTTGTTTTGTGAYAAAGTAAACTGTTCCATTCTCATAGTGATGTAGTATTGGAAAATATTAGTCATTCTTTCTGTTTCAAATTTCAGACACAATTATTAKGAATTATAATTATACTATGTTAAGTAGGTATAAAGTGTATAATAATATATTATAGGTAATATTGTATAATTATATATTTTCAAAGCATGAAAAAGGCGGGAAATTAAGCTCCTGTTAATGTTGATTAGCATACTGATTTATTAATTTCTTGTTTTAGATACCTAGATGGCGCTGACAAGAACTCGAAGCCCCCGTACCCCGCTCATTGTATACATTAAGGTGRAATAGGTGGATTTACCTCTCAACTACCTCCCCCCAACCTGTTTGTTTCCAGTCCATTATATTAATATATTATTATATTATAATTATTGTTAGTTGTTACTTCATTATTTTGTTAATTCAGTTAATCTTAATTGCACTTACGKSCCATAAGGCAATAAATGATAGATCGTAATATTATTTTTGACATAAATTTGTCCAATAAACTCGGGTTTCAGACGCAACATCAAATAAAATATATAATATGTAAGCTGGCTGTAACTGAAAAAAAGTATAAAATAATTTTAATATAGATACTTGACATTCTACGTTCAAGATGTAAAAAATCTTTATTTTCGTTTTTACTCTTTTTCAATAACACTCAATCCACTTGATTCATCTAGGTCATTTCAAATACCTCTTCTGGCACTTCTATTTTACAGTTTCTGATAACCCACCATGTCATCTTAAGCGTAATTTGCCTAATGACCTTCTCAGTTCTCAACATAAAAAAAGCTTAGAACTGTTGGTAACGGTCCAATACGTGACTTACGTCATAAATGTAAAATACAAATAATTTTAAGCAATCTTTATTTTATTTCACTTCTCGGGTATATAACTGAAGTCAAGAACTAGGTACCTAAATTTACCCATAACCAAACTATTTCCATTATTTCACATAATGATAGCTGACTATTACAACGGCTGTTAAGATCCTTATAGGTTAAAAATGCATTATATTTTCAAATTGATTGTTAAGTCTGGCAACCCCGTTTTGTACATCGTAATGTCATAACTTTTTTCATATAGTTCCATCAGAATTTCGTTTTTTAGTACCTATTTCTTAAATAATCCATAAGTAGGCCATTATATACAACACCGTTTTTCACATTTATAGATGTCATCGGATTATCGGCCAGTTAAAGCCTTCGGTCTTTTAAATATTGAACACATGTAACTTGTAACTTCATTTCTAAAAAAGCGGGTAAGTCGTGGATGTCGCTCTGCTGTATAGTATAGAGTTACAGTAATGGATGGAATTAAATTTGAATCCAATGATATTATATCATTGTATACAAAAAACGATTCTGAGTGGAGACAGTTTATTTGTCTACTGTCTAGGATATATTATAGGTACTTAGATTATTAAAAATKTTCAAATCTTAGATTTAAAAAGTAAATTTTTTATGAATTTCTAGCTTAAAATAATTTGCGAATTTTCGTAATTTTTATGTATTTTATCAAAATTCAAACTTTGAAT